ACCGTTAATTAATTTAGTGGCATTCTAAGGTTATATCTGGTGAGATTAACTGAAACTCACCTGTGACATAAACTGAGAAGCTATTTGAGCACAAGACCATTTAAGTTAATGTGGAGGACTTTTTCATGAAAATCAGGCCAGATATATACTTTTAACATAAAAGGACAGGCTATTTTAGAAACTTCTAGATCATATAGTGTTATGAAAGAAAATGTTCTTAAGGTGGAAACTGTGCTTATCTTAAGGTACATTGGGAGAAAAAGTAGCTGTAGTTTCATTGGTGGAGAAACACCTCAATGTTGTTGAGGGCCTCACTCATGAAACCAAAGCTTATCCCCACTCCTGGGAGCCATCAGAAGCCTCAACAGAGGCAGAATGTTGACATCTAGCTTACACCTACATGCTACCTAAATGCAGTAGAATTTGCTACGCTCAAGAAGGGGCTGAGATCCAACCTTTCTTGTTCTGTGAGGATAATGGGGACATTATAGAGAGGAATGGTTTAAAGACAGGACTTTGGGGAGAGACATAAGGAAATTGAGAACTAGGAAACTAGGGATTATCCAGGAGGGACATCTTACTTAAACCTATGCAGTGAGGTGTTGTAATTATTGCCTTGTATGTGGTACAAAGGAAAGAATTAAGAAAGGCATAACTCCTCATCTCCCACTACTCTCTGTAGTTTTAGGGAACACTTGCATCCTTCAGAAAAAGAATTACTTAATGCTCTACTAATATCCACTGGGTATTTTGTCTAAAGGAAAAGGGAAAGAAGATAATAAACTGGGATAATCCTGTTCACAGAAGCTTGATGGTCAGCAGCCTTAGTTGAATCATCATACAGAAAAGAGAACAAACTAGTAGATTCCCAGAGACAATACAGATAAGTTTCCTGAGTTTTCTCCTTGTCAATACATAGCTTGAGACCTCCTATGGAACAGAAAGAAGGGACACACAGGTTACATGTTTTAGTTCTTTGGGAGTTCACTGAGGGTCAGTCCTCTGGAATCTTCCTATTTGCTGGCAAAGTTGAGGGCTGCTTCTATGACAGGTATCAAAGCAAAATACTGCTATCCTTTGAGTCCCAGTAGGGACCATCATATTGGCATCTTAGACAATGTATTTCTCTCTTTCTAGCTGTAACTGCAATAAAGTCATGCTCGGAGATTCAGTGCCTATACGTAGCAATTGGTTTGGTTTTGTGTCACAGCCACAGATCACACCTCTTCAAATCTGTGTCACTAGTCAGACACAAGGGGAATAAAATGAGAATAGATGGATGAATCCATGCAAATCTATCAGTACTACCATCAAAACAAAGCAGAATGCATCCTCTATTAACTGTAGGACTCTTTCAACATGTGGTTGTGAATTAGTAGCACTGGCATCACTTGGGAGCTTGATAGAGTGCTGACCTACTGAATCCCAGCCCTACTGAATCAAAATCAGCATTTTAACAAGATCCTCAGGTTATTAATACACACATGAAAGTTTAAGAAGCAAGTTGTACGATATTATCAACCTTTGTTTCTAGATAACACATTTATTACTTTTTGCTCTAGTTTACAAATTGATTATGTTTTATAGTGCTAGTCTTTTGAAGAGTCGAACATGTTGTAAAGAAACAGTTTATAGAAAAACTGGATAGACTGGGGATATAGAAGCATATGGTGAAACAGCTAATTTCTTTCATTCATATTAGTCTGGAAATATTTATTGAGTTCCTACTGTGTTCAAGAACTGTTCAAAAACCTGAAGATACAGCAGTGAACAAAGTCCCTGTTTTCATGGTGCTTACATTTTATTAGGGGGAACACATACCGGACAAACAAATGATATATTACTATCACCTGATAAGTGCTACAGTGAAAAAGTAAGAAGGAAGAGAGGTTGCTATTTTGGCAAGAAGGGTCTAGGAATGCTTCATGGATAAGGTGATTCTTTTTGTTTTAGTTTTTCTAGAGACAGGGTCTTGCTCTGTTGCCTAGGCTGCAGTGCATGACATGATCATAGCTCACTGCAGCCTTGAACTCCTAGTCTCATTCTCCCACCTCAGCCTCCCAAGTAGCTAGGGCTACAAGCAAGTACCACCACACTGGGCTAATTTTTTTTTCTTAAATTTTTATACAGATGGTGGGGGCTCACTATGGTGCTCAGTCTTGAACACCTGTCCTCAAGCATATTCCTGCCTCAGCCTCCCAAAATGCTGAGATTACAGGTGTGCGCCACTGCACCCAGCCTGGATAAGGTGATTCTTAAAGATTCTATGCAGACATCTGGGGAAAACAGATGTCCAGATAGAAGGGATAGAATGTGAAAATCCCTGAGGCTGGAGTGTACTTTGTGCCTTCAAAAAGCAGCAAAGAAGTTGTGTCTCAAATAAGGTAAATATGGCCAGAATGGCTGGAGAAGTTAGAGAGGAAAATGTTGGAGGAAAATGAAGTAGGTCCTTGCAGGCCTTTTAAAGTGGAATGGGAAGCCATTGGAGGCTTTTTAGCGAGAAATGACATCTTACTTCCATGTTAAAAGATCACCGTTTGCTATGTTGAGAATAATCCATGAATTGTGGGGAGAGTCATGGGCAGAGTCAGGGAAACAAGTTGGAAGGCTATTACAATAAACCAGAAAAGATTTTGTAGTAACTTAAACCATTTTAAAGACTGTAGCCATGGCCAGGTGCAATGGCTCACACCTGGAGTCCCAGCACTTCAGAAGGCCAAGGCAGGAGGGTCCCTTGAGCCCAGGAGTTCAAGACCAGCCTGGGGAACATACAAAGACACTGCCTCTAATTTAAAAAGGAAAATAAAAGGAAATAAAGATAATGGTTACTACTACTATTTTAACAGTTACCACCATCCACTTAAGGGAGGAAGTGTGGAGAGATGGTTATATATATTTTGGAGATATGGTTGAAAAGATTAGGTTGGATGTGAAGTACCTGAGGAAGATGGCAAGCATACTTCCTAGGTTCTTGGATTGAGCAAGTCCAACGGTAAGATAGAGTTGCTAAGTACTAAAATAGGGGATCCCACAGGAAGAGTATAATTTCCCCCCAAAGTTTTGACATAAAAATTTCACATGCCTAATGAACAACCAAGGAGAAATGCTCAATGTAAAATGTAATTTCAGTATAAAGAATTGAAGGCATAATTTGCAAGCAATTACTCTCAGTTCTGCTATGGTGCAGTGAAAGCAGCTATAGACAATATTAAAGGAATGGGCATGGTTGTGTTCCAATAAAATTTTGGAACTGAAACTTGAATTTGAATTTCATCTAATTTTCACATATTGCAAAAATTGTTCATTTGATTTTCGTTAAGCAAGTTCCAAGCAGAATGGGCTGCAAAGCCTGTAACATTTACTTTCTGGCTCTTTTTATTTGTATTTTTTTGAGACAGTGTCCCGCTCTGTGGCCCAGGCTGGAGTGCAGTGGCACCACTGGAGCTCATTGCAGCCTTGACTCCTAGGCTCAAGCGATTCTCCTCTTTAGCTTCTAAACAGCTGAAGCTACAGGCGTGCATTACCAGGCCAACCTAATTAAATTTTGTTGGCCGGGCACGGTGGCTCATGCCTGTAATCCCAGCACTTTGGGAGGCCGAGGCGGATCACCTGAGGTCAGGATTTCCAGGTCAGCCTGCCCAACCTGGCGAAACCCCGTCTCTACTAAAAACAAACAAACAAACAAACTGTCCGACCTACCCTCTGCGGGAAGACTGAGCTCGTTCGGAAAAAACCGGACCGCAGGCTAGAGGAAATTCCTTAAGTTCAGGCTTTATTGAGAGGAAAGAGCCTCCAGGCGGACCAGCCGGGAGGAAGAGGAGAATGGCCGCGCCGCTCAGAGGGGCAGGGTTGTTTTATAGGGGGCTGAAGGGCTGGGGGGTGGGGAAGCCAAAAGCCGAGGTGGTGGGCAACTGTTGGTCAGTTTGAACTGCTGGGCGGGAAGCTGGTCAGCGGGAGGGCTAGGGCCGGTATGTAAAGTGAGAGATAAGGGAGCCTCTTTGTGGGGGAGGGAAAGAGAGAGAGATTTTGCGGTAGGGGCAGAGTTTTCCAAACACAAACAACAAAAAAACCCCCAAAATTAGCCAGGCGTGGCAGGCGCCTGTAATCCCAGCTACTCTGGAGGCCCGGGAGGTGGAGGTCGCAGTGAGCTGAGATTGCGCCACTGCATTCCAACCTGGGCGACACAGCGAGACTCTGTCTCAAAAAAAAAAAAAATTTCTTTTGTAGAGACAGAGTATCATTCTGTTGCCCAGGCTGATCTCTTGGGTTAAAGGGATTCGCCCGCCTCGATCTCCCAAAGTTCTGGGATTACAGGCGGGAGCGACTGTGCCTGGTCTACTCTGGCTCTTTACAGGCAATTTGTGGATCGCTGTGACAAATGAAACAAGGATGGGACATTAATTGGTCATTTTTGAAGCTGGGTAATCGTATACAGGGTTTCCTTTTATTAGTTTACTTTTGAATATACTTAAAAACGTTCTCAATAAAAAGTTGTGGAAATGTTTAACAAAGGTAAGTAATCTTACGCGTTTTTCCTTCCTTAAAACAAAAATCTCTGAAACTTGTCTGTAGCTAGTAAACGCCTTTGCTTCTTTTCTGAAAAAGCAAAATATTTTGTTACTCTTTAGTGGTGGTAAAACAAGCCCTTTGTATTTGACACTCGGTGACGGTGAAAGCAGGCACAAAAGGAAAAGGGTATTTTTCTTGGGGTGGGGTGTGTGTACATTACCATAAATTCCCAGGACCAAACCTGGTTCTACAAATAAGTCAAAACAAAATCCTCCTTAACACAGTAGCGTCTCACGCCCCCAGGCGACTCACGGAAATGACGCCATCAGCAAAAAGCGGGGCGGGGCGGGCGTAGACGTCAGCGCGTCAGCCCTCCACATCCAGCTGAGGGAAGGCTGGCTCCAGCGCCGCAGCCGGCGCCTGCCCCAGGAATGGGCGGCCAGAGTCTGTCGACTGCGGCTGCGCAGGTATGCAGGGGCGGGGCCTCAGGTCACTCCGCCCATCCCCTGGCTTTGCGATCATTGAACAGCTGCCGCCCGAGGGCTGGGTAAATCCTTCTCGGCCGGAATGATTAGCCGAGGGGGCGGCCCCGCCCCCGGCTCCTCTTGGCCTCGCGCCCCGCCCCCGTGTCCCGCCCGCCTGCCCGCCCGCCTGCCTGGCTGTGGGGTGACACGGGGCTTCTCCTAAGGAAGGGGGCGAGGGAAGCAGGTTAGACTGCGGCCGAGCGGCGGCGGCGCGGCCCCCAATGTGAGCGTGGTGAGGGGAAGCGGGCTGTTGGGAAGAGGGAGCGGCGTGGCAAGAAATGGGAGGGCCCCGGTGCTTGGTGGTGGAGGGGCTGCAGAGTGAGGGGCGGTTGTGAGGGGGCGAAGCTGTCCGGTCTTGCCCCGATACCGTCGTGCCGGCGGGGGTCGCGGTCGGGAGATGCCGAGTCCACGTTCCTTAGTTCTAGAGCTTCCCTTGGCAGCTTGGCACACCTTAAGTTTGCCTCTGTTTGGGTTGTCTGGGATGTGAGGAGGAAATTTAAAGATCCACACAAACACTTGGAAGCTTCTTCGGGAAGTTTTCCTCGCCGGTGCATGCGTGTTCACTTTTCTAGGATGGAAAGGTGGACAGGCCAGGTGGGCGGGTGGACTTCTACTCTCCGAGGATTGTTAGAACAAACGATCTGGGAATTCCTCCCCCGCCCCCACGCCCTGCCCTGCAACACAGCGAACAGTCCCAACTACTTTTTTTTTTTCCCCCTGATGTCGGAGTCTTGCTCTGTCGCCCAGACTGGAGTGTAGTGGCGCGATCTCGGCTCACTGCAACCTCTGCCTCCCGGGTTCAAGCAGTTCTCCTGCCTCAGCCTCCAGAGTAGCTGGGATTACAGGCGCATGCCACCGTGCCCAGCTATATTTTTGTATTTTTAGTAGACAGGGGTTTCACTGTGTTGGCCAGGTTGGTCACGAACACCTGACCCTGTGATCCGCCTGCCTCGGCCTCAAGAGTGCTGGGATTAAAGGCGTGAGCTACCGCGCCTGGCCCCAACAACTTTGATGACGAGACCAGAACAAGAACATTCATTCTAAGAGCTTTGATGTATTTGAAATATGTCTGAGATGTGGGCCTTTTCCTTGTGTATGTATAAAAAGGTGTAAGTGGCAAGGAGAGGGGCTCACAGGACCCTGTAGGGCTGGACCCTTCAGCAGTCTTGCTCGTTACTCTCACTGGACGTAATTTTGGTTACTAAAATGTACCCATTTCTAGGAGTCTGTCCTAAAGGATTATATGAAGTGACATACTGTTTTAGCTGTGATGTTTTCCTGAAACACAAGTTTCTATGAAATCTAATCAATCCGTATGAAACTGTAGTGGGTTGTTTGTGGAAAGTGAAGCAGATACATCTTTAGTTTCTGGTAAGTCCAGATTTTTTAATACGGCCTCTTTTTCTAACCTTTGTATTTTTCTCTTTCACAGATTCATTTAATTGCCCAGCTACCACTGATGACGATATGTTGGAGTAACTGCTGAAACTGCCTTTTTTTTTTGACAGTCCATTTGTTTTACTTCTTTTTGCTTTTCCTGCTACTATGAGCTTTACTGTAATGACTGAAAAACTTAGAAAATAAAATGAACATGCTGTAGTCTTGAACATAATTTTTTTAAAGAAAAATTAAAGTACCAGAGCGAAAGCCAGAATGGCATCCAGAGAGAGGCTTTTTGAACTTTGGATGCTTTATTGTACAAAGGTAATTGCTTTCCTTTTTATTTTTATGTTTTAAAATACTTTATAAAATTTATGACTGGCAGGATTAACACTATTTAATAGATAATGGTGTATTTAGTCATACGAATAACCCCAAACTTAAAGGATTTTGTTTTCCTCTTTTTCAGGTTTGAACACCCATACAATATTGGCATACTCTTAAAAATTGTAGAGTGTGGCTTTTATTTTATACTTATGATCCCCAAATGATCCTAGAATTATAAAAGTAAAATTATGCCCTTGAGAGAAAAATAAATTATTTTTATTTTTGTTTGTGCTTTACATTTTCTCCCACAAATGGGTGTAGGATAGAGACATTTTTATGAGAAGGGCATTAAGCATTTTTTCTCAGAATAAACCTTTGAAATTGCATCATAAGGTTATTGATTGAACTGCATACTGTGTGATTGCCACCAGGTTAGCACTCTTAAGAGAATTGTCTCATTTCCTCCTCACTACAATCACATGAGGTGAATATTGTGATCATTTCCTTTTACTGATGAGAAAACTGATGCAAAGGTTACAGGAGTAACAAGTAGCAGATACACTGAAGTGCATGCTTTTATACATTTTTACTCCTTAACATTTTTGTCACTCAGAAATAATGTTCTTTCCCCTTCTTGTCTTTATGTGAATTTTTGCATGATAGCTTTGATTTTAGGTTTTGACAAGAGTAATACTTAAAAAGATGTTTTTCAAGTGAGGAGGTACATTATTACTTTGAAGATACTGGCAAGGATCAGAGAAACACCCCTAGTCTGTGTGGTGAAGTTCTCAAGTCACATTTCTGCATTATCCCTTCGTGCTTCTTAAAAGGCAGATTATTATTTAGCAATGGTCTCATTTATCTGTTGTATTAAATTTAGGGATTACACTGGAATTTTCTTTGACTTCCTGATTTGATAAATATTATAATCACTAAAGGACATATACTTTGAAATGCTTAATATGAAGTTTTAAAACAGCTTTTAATCTTGTGTAATTTAATACCAGAAATGTCTTTTAAAAATAGAAGCTTTCAATAAAAAAGGAATGTAATTCACCACTTTTGAAAATAGTCACTAATACATTAACCAAAAATTAAAATGAATTTTTAGTATGAATACCCTGTAGTTTGAAAATGATTTATTTTAAAAAATCAAATTACTAGGTTTTACTGTTCTCAGAATGACATTGGTGAATGGGGTTACATGTCTCATTAATAAGTTATGTACTTTTTAGGTAAATTTACCATTAAATTTAATATAAAAGATTATTAAACAGATAGTATAGTTCACTGGCATATGCTGAATTTTATTCTTAATGGCTTTGAATATAAATGTGCATCCTTTCTCTTTTGAAATGTTTATCTTCAATAATGAAGGCACTTCATTGTCAGATTTTGAAGTCTGTCTCTTCTTGGACAGGAATATAAATCTCATTTAATTTGTGTGCTTAATAAGATTTACATTTTTTCAGTTGTTTTCGAAGAGTATTTATTTAAAACTGTGATTTTGTATTTTACTGGTTCATGAATAAGCTACTTGTGAGGTAGACAACATTCTCTTCTCCAGACACCTTGAATAAGGTAGATACCAAATAAACCTCATAGATTTAAGTCTTCTTTCTAGTGAGCATGACTACCAAATGCTGTACGCAGTTGTTCTCTATACTTTCTTGCCTTATTATTTCCACTCTAGCATTTAGCCTCTCAAACCAACTGACTCTGTTCTTTTCCCAGCTGACAAACTTTTAAGACTTTTTTTTTTAACACTTTTAATGAGCTTTCAGACGACTTGAGGACTCAGATCTTCTTATGAAAATGTTTTCTACAATTTAGTTCCAAAAGCTTCTTAGACCTCTTTGTGGACTTGAAATTGTAGTTTAGTTTTGGCCCTGCTGCTGCTTTGTTTTGTAACCTTGAACGGGATTTACTTCTTTGGGTCTCAGTTTTTCTCATTTGTTGAGTAAGTGTGTACGCATGTACGTATATACAGGGAGAATACTTGTCTAACTTAACTATTGAGATTTTTGTTTGTTTTGACCTCCGAGGGACAAGCAGTTATTTTCTTGTTCTCATTCTGTAGATTGTTATGTAGAACTTTTTAGTTCTTTCTTTTTAAAACTTTTATTGTGGAAAACTTCAAGCATGCACCAATTAGAGAAGATGTTATAGTGAACTCTTTTGTGTCTGTCACCCAATTTCAACTATTGACAGCTCATGTTCAGTCACAGTTTATGTGTAACTGTCAATTTGCCCTATCTCATAATTATTTTAAAGCAAATCCCAGATAATTTATGATCTTATCTATAAATATTTAAATATGTAGAATAATTCCTCTTAAAAACAATCACAACACAATTTTTAAAATTATCAAATATATGATCAATGTTCATACTTTCCTGCTAGTATTGTAATATTTGTATTTTCTCACCGTTTGGCTCAATATTTAAAACAAAGTATACATGTATTTTGTTGAAAATATCTGCTAAGCATTTTTATCTATAGCTTCTCCTTTACCATATTTTTATTCTTTGCTGTTTATGTGTTGAAGAAACCAGATTTTGACCTTAGAGTTTTCTGTAGTTTGGACGTTTTGGTCATTGAATTCCCTTGATTTTATTTTATTGTTCCTCTCTTCTGGTATCTGGAAACTGACAGAACAGAGGCTTGATTGATTTGGGTTCTGTTTTGGGTGTGGAGGGATAGAATAATTCATTAGTGTAGTTGGCATCTGTGATTTTTGCCTATATGTGTTAATTATTAGGATTTTTGTGACACTGTATAATTCATATTGAGAACTAACTATCAGTAGTTGATTGCAGCTCCTTAAAGGGAAGGCAGGCAGCATATATGTTTGATTCTCTTTGTAGATTTTCACTATGACTTGATTTACTAGCATCCTCCCATGATGATCAATTGTTTTTCTTGAGTATAAAGTCCATCTTTAATGATGAAAGTGTCTAATATTTTGTTGTTCTGCTTGGTTTGATATCTACACAAAACGTTGTTTACGTACCTGATTAAAGAAGATACTTTGGAAGATTTACGAAGGACTGCTTCAGGGCAGTAAGGTTAAGACCTCCTCCATATTTGCCATAGTGCTAACCTTGGCACAGATAATATGCAACGTATTAACAATAAGTCAATATTAAGGTACCTACCATCACCGTGTTTCCATGTCATGTTTTAAAAGTTGCTTCTGAACATTACAAAAGTTTAGTAGGTCTAGTAGGTAGTACTACCTCATAAAGAACCCTTGGGTAATACTGCTTGATCATAGCAATGCTAAAAGAATGCTAATGGAATATATATATGTCTTCTCCCTGGGTTCAGTTGCAAGCCTAAATACTAGTGATTAAAGTCCTTTAAGAAGAATTAAAGGCTGGGCTCTGTGGCTTACGCCTGTAATCCCAGCAATTTGGGAAGCTGAGGTGGGTGGATTACAAGGTCGAGAGATTGAGACCATCCTGGCCAACATAGTGAAACCCTGTCTCTACTAAAATATAAAAATTAACTGCGCATGGTGGCACATGCCTGTAGTCCCAGCTACTCGGGAGGCTGAGGCAGGAGAATTGCTTGAACTTGGGAGGCGAAGGTTGCAGTGAGCCGAGATTCCGCCACTGCACTCCAGGCTGGCGCCTGGTGACAGAGTGAGAGACTGTCTCAAAAAAAAAAAGAAGAAGAATTAAAATATTTAGTTTTTAGCAGATGGAGTCCCAATATTTGAAAGAATTTGAGTATAAAACTTGGCAATTTATTTGATTTTATTTCTAGTTGATAATTGTATGTATTTTTGGGGTACAATGTAATGTTTTGATACATGCATACGTTGTGGAATCATCAAATCAGGCTAATTAACATATCTGTCACTTCACATACTTAACATTTTGTGATGTGCAATTTGGTTTGTTACCAAACTTTTCAGGTCTCAGTTTTCACTTTCTTCCTCTAGGAATAGACTTTAATTGCATTGTTAGAAACATGTGTCTTCTTCCTGTTACTTTTAAAAACTTATGTAGTTATTACATAATGCAAGCAGGATGATTTCTAATCTCCCAGCATATTCCTGCTCTCTAAAGATTCTTTCACCAGTGTATAGTGTAGTCTGAGGCTGGGTGCAGTGGCTCAGGCCTATAGTCTCAGCACTTTGGGAGGCTGAGATGGATGGATCATTTGAGATCAGGAGTTTGATGCCAGCCTGGCCAGTATGGTGAGGCCACATCTCTACTAAAAACATAAAAATTAGCTGGGCATGGTGGCATGCACCTGTAATCCCAGCTACTTGGGAGGCTGAGGCAGGAGAATTGCTTAAATTTAGTAGATGGAGGTTGCAGTGAGCTGAGATTGCGCCACTGCCCTCCAGCCCGGGTGACAGAGTGAGACTCTATCTCAAAAAGAAAAAGGAAAAAAAACAAATTACATAGCCTGAACTTTTCTTGCCTCCAGTGGTTGTCCCCACCCACAGTCAAGGATTTGATTACCAGTACATTTCTTATAGCTCTTATAAGTTAAACATTAATTTGAACAGGTTTAATATTGTATCTGGACTTAGTTCAGTAGTTAACTACTTCTTGTCTGAGTGTATTTTTCTTAAATATAGAAATATTTTAATACTGGTACCTAAGTATACAGTATTTTTATTTATTTTTGTAGACTGAGTCTCACTCTGTTGCCCAGGCTAGAGTTCAGTGGCCCGACCTCATCTCATTGCAACCTCCAACCACCCAGGTTCAAGCTATTCTCCTGCCTCACCCTCCCAAGTAGCTGGGATTACAGGTGCACACCACCATACCCGGCTGAGTTTTTGCATTGTTAGTAGAGATGGGATTTCTCTACTAACCATGTTGGCCACGCTGGTCTCCAACTCCTGACCTCAGGTGATCCACCCTCCTCAGCCTCCTAAAGTGCTGGGATTACAGGCATGAGCCGCTGCACCCTACCCAGTGTTTTTTTTAATGTCTAAAGATTTTAGGCCGGGCGTGATGGCTCATGCCTGTAATCCCAGCACTTTACGAGGTTGAGGCAGGTGGATCACTTGAGCTTGGGTGTTTGAGACCAACCTGAGAAACGTGGTGAAACCACACTCTACCAGAAATATAAAAAATTAGCCAGGCATGATGGTGCTTGCCTGTGGTCCCAGCTACTCAGGAGGTTGAGGTGGAGAATTGCTTAAGCCCAGGAAGTGGAGGTTGCATTGAGCCGAGATTGTGCCACTACACTCCATGTCAAAAAAAAAAAAAAAAATTTAGTTTATGTATGTGTAGTAGACACCATGTTATTCACTGTATTTTTTGATACTTAACATACTGATAGTAAGAGAGATGGTGCTGAGAACAGTTTTTGTTTCTATATTATTATATACAAAGTTGTGAGATTCATGTATGTGTGTAGAAAAAGACATTTATTGGCTGGGCTGCCTGTAATCCCAGCACTTTAGGAAGCCGAAGCTGGTGGATCACAAGCTCGAGACCAGCCTGAGCAAGATGGTGAAACTCTGTCTCTACTAAAAATAAAGAAAAATTAGCTGGGCACAGTGACGAGCTCGAGACCAGCCTGGGCAAGATGGTGAAACCCTGTCTCTACTAAAAATACAGAAAAATTAGCTGGGCACAGTGGTGAGTGCCTGTAATCCAAGCTACCCTGGAAGACTCCGTCTGAAAAAAAAAAAAAAAAAAAAAAAGAAAAGAGAAACATGTATCATAAACTTCCTATCTCAACTGCAACCCTTGGACAGGCTTAAGGATGTATTTCTATTAGACGTTTAGCCTTTTCAGAGTGCTGCAGTTAGTTGGTCACCAGAATATGTTGAAGAAAGAAACTGAGCCTCTCAAAGTCTTAGATAAGATTAAGCTATTTTTGTGCTATCTGTTGTAGAGTATCAAATAAGTTAACTGAGTAAAAAGATAAAAATTTTCTCAAAGCATGGGATTTTGAAATGTGGCAATGTGGCTTGAAATCCATGGTTCATTTTTGTCATTAGCTTTAAAAGTTATTTTTGTTTTGTTGAGATTAAATTTGCCTTAAACAATTTTGTGAAGCTACAGTGTTAGAGCTGATATTTAGTCCCAGTTCCGTGTCTGATCTTAAGAACCTAAAAGCAAGTTAAACTAGTTTCTTTATATCTCAGTTTCTCACCTGTCAAATGGAAAAACATAACTATTTTACGTATCTGTCAACATTTTTTAGAAAAAAGATTTTATTTAAATGTATCTTAAGAGGAAGCAAGGCAAAAATGTAATCTTTATAAGTATTTTGTAGCTGTGTTGGTGTGGACATGTATGTATCAGAAATACTTCCATTTTGCCCCTGCATTAATATAATAATAGAGGACAATATTCTCTTACCATTTTGTCAATAGTAATGAAACTGTATGTCTGAATGTCTTAACTGATTTTAAATCTGTGCTTATTTTTGCTTTCAAGCATAGGGCTTAATTATCTTGAATAATGATTTGAGGGTCCTTCCCCTACTCTAAACCAAATTTATTTTGGATGTTGATGATCTTCCATTTCCTGCTGTTGCCCTTTGTCCTGCTAAATCTGGAATATGACTGAAATAGATAGTTTTGCAGTGAGCTCAGAGTAAACTTCCTTTTCAGAATAAAAGTTTTACCTCAAAAAGAAAATAGAATTTAGAGGTGTTTTATTCAGTTAAAAGGCAAGTAACTCTTTTTACACATAAATTTGGGAAAATGGAATTAGTGAGTATTCTTTTAATGAGAATATTGTCAACTTAGTATAATTTTGTTATAATCCTAAATAAGTTTTTAGTAAGATGGACACAATCCTTATAATTTAAGCCACATTTAATAAGTCTCTGGTATGTGCAAAGTATGAAAATGGTCTTGATTTTCTATGGCTTAATAATGGCTTTGTATGTAAGGAAGGTGTAATGTTCTTTGACTCTAAAGAAAACAAAACAAAATCTTTAACAGCCTAGTAGAAGTACTTACCAGTTACATGTTTGTTTTCAGAAGTTAGTTATGAAGGCAAGAAGTGAATATTTTATATTAGTGGACTTAGGAAATGCAAAAGTTGTTAAGATGCATTAACTTTTAAAATTCTTTCCTTCTGAGCATCAAACTTTAAATTTCCCTGGAAGAAGCTAAAATTGATAGCACTTAAGTGTTTAGGTGTGGAACATAATGTGTAAGGGTCTAAGATAATTTCCTGTTTTTTTTTTGTTGTTGTTTCTGACAAAGAAAACTTGGTCTTCCCATTCACAAAGTTAGTTAGACAAGATCACTAGATTTTCAGGTAAGCATCCTGACTTTTCCATGTTTAGGGACATTTCAGGTAGAAATATCGACATACGGAGTTCAGAAGGGAGGTCTGTGCTGGAAATAAAGATTTGAGAGCTGTCATATTGGGAGATATTGGAGAGTTATGAGAATAAGAAGAGAAGAGGGTAAAAGGGAGTCCTGAAGAACATTATCATTTAAGAAGAAGATAGAGTTTTGTGACCAGCCTGGCCAAAACAGTGAGACCCTGTCTCTATTAAATAAATAAATACATGGATGACAGAGGAAGTGGAGTTTGTGAGTTTAAATGAGAGAAGAGCCAGGAGTGACTGGGTTGCCTCAGAAAGTAAAGGGATATTGGCTGGGTGCAATGGCTCATGCCTATAATCCTAGTTCTTTGGGAGGCCAAGGTGGGAGATTTGCTTGAGCCCAGGAGTTTGAGGCTGCAGTGAGCCAGGATCCTGTCACTCCAGTCTAGCCTGTGTGACAGAGTAAGACCCTGTCTCAAAAAAAAAAAAAAAAAAATAGTCTGGGGTATCAAATTCAACATGGCAGTCAAGAAAAGTATGTGCTGGGCATGATGGTTCACCCCTGTAATCCTAGCACTTTGGGAGGCCAAGGTGGATGGATCATTTGAGGTTAGGAGTTTGAGACCAATCTGGCCAACATGGTGAAACCCCCATCTCTACTGAAAATACAAAAATTAGCTGGGTGTGTTGGCACGCACCTGTAATCCCAGCTACTCGGGAGGCTAAGGCAAGAGAATCACTTGAATCTGAGTGGCAGAGGTTGCAGTGGGTCAAGTTTGTGCCACTGTACTCCAGCCTGGGCAACAGAGTGAGACTCTGTCTCAAAAAAGAAAAAGCATCCTTTTTTAAATTTGAAAATTTAAATATTATTGATGGCCCAAGGTGGGCAGATCATTTGAAGCCAGGAGTTTGAGACCAGCCTGGCCAAAATGGTGAAACCTGTCTCTACTAAAAATATAAAAATTAGCCAGGTGTGGTGGTGCATGCCTGTGGTCCCAGCTACTCAGGAGGCTGAGACAGGAGAATTGCTCGAACCTGGGGGGCAGAGGCTACAGTGAGCTGAGATCATACCACTCCACTCCAGCCTGGGCAACAGAGCGAGAGACTCTGACTCAAATAAATTCATAAATATTGTATGGCTTTAGCAAAAGCAATTCTGAAGAGTGAAAAAGTTAAAAATGCAAGTCCTTATTTTATTAATTTTTTATTATTAAATTTAACAGACTTAAAATTACTGCCAAACTGCTACTAAAGTTTTTAGATGTTTCCTATGTGTCTTTCTACTAATCTGGCTGAGGACCATTATTTGTCTGTTTACCACACTTTGTGTGACACTGCTCTAAAGCATCTGAAAATTCTCATACCTAAGAATCCATCTGTAAATCCAGAGATCTGTAATTTAAAAAAGATTGCTCTATAAATTGAACTGTCACTGATGATCCCTTGGTAGCAATCCAAATGTGACCTTTGAAATTGAGTAGTATTACTAGTAATGAGGTAATCTTCCCTAATATGCTTAATGTAATTTAAAAATTAAAAATAGGAGTGCAGACTTTAAAATTTCTATATAGAACTTAAAGACCTCTGAAAATATTTCTGATAACTCCAAGCATTCTCAGACCTTAGTTTTAGAAACAAACCTTGAACAATTATTATATCTGACATACTACGAGTGCTGTGCCTTTGCTACAGCTTTTTTTTTTCCTTTCTGAAAAATTATGTGGCAAGTTTTGCTACAAGCAAGTAAAGAATTGGAACTGAAGATCCAGTCTGCCTCAGTCTACTTTCTAGGCACAGTTATTCATATTTCTCTTATACGCAAAATGTACTTTGTATCTATCTGAAGAACTCCAAAAGTCTCATCCAGTCATCATACCAGTCTTGAAACATGGGATCTTGTGGTATACATCAAATCCAATTGTGGTTTTTCTTGATACTGTGATCTGTGAACTCAGAGGATACTTGGTATCTGTCCTCTGCAAATCCAGTTGGGCAAATGTTGCCTGGTCTTTCTATCCTCAGAGAAGAAATCCATGATATGACTCAGTACCTGCTGTGGCCACTCTTCTCTTTTCACTCTTGGCTGTGTATTCTTGGATGTTCTTTTTTTCCCTATCATTTTCCTTCTGCTTTATCTGAAGTGGGCATTAGAGACTACACTTTGTTGTGACTGAGCTCCCTCAACTTGCCTTCTCCATTAGGAAGTCCCCTACAGAAAATGAGGACCCCTCTCCCCTTCTAATTCTCTTTTGTTTAGTTACATTATCTGATAGCTTCAACATGATATTCTGTAGTAATGGAAATAAGGGATTTACTTGCCTTGCTTCTCATTTTAGCAGGAAAAAGGTTAGGTTTTCCTATTATGTTAGCTTCAGAATTTGGGGCTGAGGCTTGTATACTTATGTCTGTATTTTTGTGTATGACCACTTTAAATCATAGATCAGTGTAATTTATAATGTTAGATGTTTTATTCCCTTCATTTTTCTAGGTCTGCTATTTCTAATATCATCTGTTTGCACCTCTTAGAATATGTTATATATATATATAAACAAAAAATTAAAAAAATTTGAAAAACAAAAACAAAAAAATAATATATAATTACTAAGAATAGTTTTATGTGTTTATAGGTTAAGATGTGGATAATTAGTCTGTTATGTTCTAGGGAAATGATATTATTAAGACTTCACATAATTGAAAAGAATCACTGTTATGACTTGCTTTAATTGTTGGTATTTAGTAGTTGCCATTTAAATATCCTCCTTTAGTGGAATCCTCATTATGCATTTTAAGTAGGTTCATTTGGAATCAGGTGTTTTAATTTTCAATAGTCCTTCATTGTTAAAGATGTAAAGTAAAATGCTTCTAGATCAAGGTTTAATGCCTTATAGTGTTTTAATATATATTCAGCCTGGCTAATGACAAAAACCCTTGATTTCTCCTTATTTTTAACCCCTTCACCCCCAATTCTTGATTTCTTTTATGGAAATATAATTCTGTTTTTTTTTGTGACAATTTTATTCTGGTCACTCAAAATCTATTAAGATATGGGGAACTATGTAGACTGACTATGAAATGTTCCATAGCCATATTTGAAATACTTTGAAGGTGTTAGAATTCAGGCAAGGGTTTGCAATGCTTGCTTCCTCATCTTTCCTCAACTTTTATTTAAAATAATGGAATTTACATTATAATGCACCACTTCATTTTCAGTAATGGAAATAAGGAGCTCTACTCTTAAATATTTTTTATATAGACTCTGCTGTCTTAAAAAATGAAAAAATAACTTATTCTTAGCCATATCTAAGAGTAATCAACATTTTTCTTTATGGTTTGTGACTTAGACTCAGACTGGTAGAGTTATCTACCCAGATCGAAAGAAGATTAAATGATACATCCATTTCACACAAAAGTCAATCAGACATTTTAAAACAGTTTACCTCTGTAAAAAAAAAAATGTAGTTTTGTATGATGCATTTAACTACTACATAATTTTTACTGACATTAAACATTTGAATGGTAGGAAAGATGTGTAATTTATGATGCCATTGTGAGGTGATTTGAGTGATTTTTGTCTGTTCCAAATATAAAATTTAACCTTTCCAGTGAATGAACTTTATTTTAGGGAGAAAAATAAGAAGTATATGGACTTTCTTTTTTAAGACCTAGGGTCTTGCTCTGTTGCCCACTCTGGATTACAGTGACATAATCGTAGTATCTCCCTGTAACCTTCGACTTATGGGCTCAAGTGATCTTCCCTGTCTCACCCTCCCAAACAGATAGGACTACAGGTGTGTGCCACCATGCCTGGCTATTTTCTGAACAATTTTCTTTTTTAAGAGACAGGGTGTTGACATGTTGCCCAGGCTGGTCTTGAACTCCTGTTTCAAATAGTCCTTATGCCTCGGTCTCTCAAAGTGGTGGAATTATAGGTGTGAGCCGCTGTGCTTGGCCTCGACTTTCTGATTAGATTTATATTCTAAGAAAAAATAGTAATGATGTTTTACTTTTATGCTGAACTTTAATTTTTAAATTAAGATATAACTTAATTGTAGAAAATACAGATATGCAGAAAGTCAGTTGCAGAGAATCTCATTATTCAGAGACTTTTAGTTCTTTAATTACATTTACTACTACAAATCATTAATATATTTAATTTGAAAAACTTTAACTTGAGATGAAATGTGAACATTATTTCAAGTTTCATGGGATGCTTTAAACTCCATTTGACAAGTGTCAATTTTATATTAATACATATATTAATATATACATGTTAATATAGTTAATACATTTATAGTAATATTTTTCTTTTCTAAAGAATTAGCTTTAGTCCTGTTTCACTCATTTTTACTGGGTGCCTGCTGTATGCACATGTCCCTTGAATTTAACATTTTCCTATTTTTATTTGGTTAATTTAAAAAAAATTTATAAACTGTATTTTTAGAGCAGTTGTTGGTTCCCAGAAAAATTGAGCAAAAAGTATAGAGCATTCCCATATACCCCCTGTCTTCATACATGCACAACCTTCCCTACCATCTATATCCTGGACCACCTTGCTGTCTTTTGATAACTTCACTGATTTCCCAAAAACACCTGCATCAGAGGCTTTGTTTTTTTGTTTGTTTGTTTGTTCGAGTCAAGAGTCTTGCTCTGTTGCTCAGGCTGGAGTGTAGTGGTGCAATCTTGACTCCCTGTAACCTCCACCTCCCAGATTCAAGTGATTCTTGTGCCTCAGCCTCCTGAGTAGCTGGCATTATAGGTGTGTACCACCACACCTGGTTAATTTTTGTACTTTTAGTAGAGATGAGGATTCACCATGTTGGCCAGGCTGGTCTCAAACTCCTGGCCTCAGGTGCTTCAGCTTCCCTCACTGTTGGGATTACAGGCGTGAGCCACCGTGTCTGGCCTGCATCAGTTTCTTTACCTGACTACTAATGCGTGAAACTCCAAGGTAAACACAAAATTCATTTAACAAGACATATTTTACCTAGCATTGCAGATGTCAGCCAGTTCTGCTGATCTTAGCTGTGATTTTTCTACTCTATATTAATCAGACCAGTAACTTTATTAGTTATCTGAATGGATAGTTCTGTAAACATTTAAGAAATTCCAGCCTGGGGCAATGTGGTGAAACCCTGCCTCTACAGATAATACAAAAACTAGTTGGGTATGGTGGCATGTGCCTGTGGTCCTAGCTACTCAGGAGGCTGAGGTGGGAGAATCACTTAAGCCCAGTTTGTTGAGGCAGTGAGCCCTGATTGTGCCACTGTACTTCAGCCTGGGCAACAAAGTAAGACCTTTTCTCAAAAAAAAAAAAAGTTAATAAAAAAATACATAAAGAAAATTTGAAACCTTTCTCACTAGGAATTGGTGTATTTTAAGCCTATTTTGTATATATAAACACCTCTATTACAATATTACTACTCTGTTTGTGTTAAAATGGCTTCCAAACCTCTCTCTTGGATGTGATGGGTTTTCCTTTCATAATAATTTTTGCTTTCATCTATTTAATTGACTATGACTTCATATGAGGGCATGCTTCCAGTTTCTCACTTAGGTTGTAGGTCCAGATAATAAGTAAACTAAAGCAAGATGGAGGGATGAAGTTATCAGTTATTACTTAGTGGAAGAAGTAGCATCTATCAGGGTTTTAAAGAATGTATAGTAGCTTAATAGTTACAGAAAGTGTTCCAGGCAAGCATAAAGACATGACCGAAAAGTACGGAGGAAAAGTGGTCGTTAAGTATAGATTTTCATTTCTGGTAATTAGGTAGACTAGGTCGTTTAGACTAACCCTTCTGAAAATTACTAGAAATTCTGGATACAATTTAAGAAATATTTTAAAAGTATTGAAAAACTGATAATGTGGTAAGGTAATATGAAGCAAATCTAAACAAAAGCAGAAAGTTAGGTAAATGAAAGCCTCTTTTTTTGCCTGGTGAACTTGAGCTTTTGTTTTCATGGTCTTGTAAATAGATAGAATTTAGAAGAGGCTTTTTTTTTTCATGGTCTTGTAAATAGATAGAATATAGAAGAGGCTTCCGTTCTTTACAAGATGGGCCTCTTTATAGGGCTACTTATTATTGAACTTCTAGATTCCCTCAGAGTAAGTGATCAAATAATAATAAAGAACAATTTACAATAATAATAAAGAACAAATACCAAATGTAAAGCCAAGGGACTAACTGGAATGAGAAGTCTAATAAAATTTCCCTTCTGATTCCCATAATTTACACCTTTGGCATAAGGATCAACTGGAAGCAAACCTGCTTCACTCTCCTACCTCCGCTAGGACTGCAGGGAAAAGTGCCATGAGTGAGAACCAACAGAAGTAGACATTAAGTATAGATCTAGAAAGACTTTATGTATTGATATTAGAAAGCAGAGATTATAAAATAAATATACTGGGTGCCATGGTTTACACCTATAGTCCCAGGACTTTGGGAGACTGAGATGAAAGGATTGCTTGAGCCCAGGAGTTCAAAACCAGCCTGCGCAATATAGGAAGACCCTGTCTCTACAAAAAAATTCAAAAATTAGCCAGGCATGGTGATACGTAACTGTAGTCACAGTCACTTGAAAGACTTAAGATGTAAGGATCACTCGAGCCTAGTAGGGAAGCTGCAGTGAGCTGTTATTGCTATTTCAAAAAAAAAGTTGAATAGATTCTATGTATTATGGAATTTGAAAACATTGATTACAAGATATACCATTACTTTATGTAACATTTAGAGAAATGCTGGCAGTTAAACTGCAGGTTGATAACTTATTTCCTGATGTAGGAATTGACTATACCAGGTTCTTATTGTTTTGAAATTTCTCTCATCTTTTCCTAGTGATTTGGCAGATTCTCTTGTCTTCTTTTGCATTGTTTGGCTTATGATAGATAATGTTTTCACACATGTATTTCCGTTTCATCTATTTGAGAGTATCTCTCATTTTCAAGTTTATAAAATACTAAGCCGTTTGCCAGAAAACATACAATTGTGATTGTTTCTATAGTAATGAATATTTGCTTTGTTGATGTCAGATTTTACCCTGTTGCTCTGTTTTCATGCCTTTGTACACAATACTTTCGTTTTATTGCCTAATGATAGCATAATTTTTTGAAGACATTTTGAATGATAGTTAAACTTATGTGTAGTAATAACTATACATGTTAATCTAGTGAAGGAACATCAATACGAAATCTACCAGGTTTGCACATGAACAGGCAAGAACAAATGTTAGCTGCCTCTGTAAGGGCAATTTTGAGATGCATTTTAATTTCAAAGATGTCAAAATGTTAAGAATCTTAGAATCATAGAAATATGGAAAAAGTGACCTCACAGTTTTGAAAGAGAAATAGACTTGTCTTAAAGTGGGGAAAAATTAGAATTAAAAAAAATTGAATGGTAAAAGTACATTTTAAAACTTGGCAGCTACAGAATTAGGAAAATGTAAGTACATATGTTAGAAATAAAAAAGACTAAAACTTAATGAACTAGTCATTTGTGGTAGCCAGCCTTCAAGATCCCACCTCCTGGTATTTGCACTCTTGTGTGTTGTCCCCTCCCACATTGTACTACAGGTTGATCTGTGTAGTCAGTAGAATTTGTCACAAGTGATAATATGCCATTTCTGTAATTAGGCTGTGAAAGACACTATTGTTTTACCTCAGTTGTTCCTTATTATTATTATTTTTTGATCACTTACTCTGGGGGAATCCATAAATTCAATAATGAGTAACCCTATGGAGAGGCCCATCTTGTGAAGAATGGAAGGCTCTTGCCAACCACCATGTGAGTGAGCTTTTAAGTGGTTCCTCCAGCCCAGTCAAGCTTTGATATGACTGTGTTCTTAGTAGGCATGTTCATTACAAGCTCATGAGAAATGCTGAGCCAGAGCCACCAACCTGAGCCACTCTTGAATTCTGACCCTAAGAAACAGTGAGATAAATGTTTGTTGTTTTAAGCCGCTAAAATTTAGGGTAACGTGTTATGCAGGAATAGATAACTATTGCATCATCCGTTTAAGAGGATAAGAACAAAAACCCAAAGAAAGAGTGAAAAAAATAGTGGCCTTTGTTATTTATTTATTTATTTGAAACACAGTCTCACTCTGTTGCCCAGGCTGGAGTGCAGTGGCACCATCTTGGCTCACTGCAACCTCCACCTCCTGGGCTCAAGCGATTCTCCTGCCTCAGCTTCCTGAGTAGCTGGGACTACAGGTGTGCACCACCACACCCAGCTAATTTTTGTATTTTTGGTAGAGACAAGGTTTCATTATGTTGGCCAGGCTGGTCTTGAACTAGTGATCTCAGATGATCCACCCACCTTGGCCTCCCAAAGTACTGGGATTACAGGTGTGAGCCACCACGCCCAGCTGGAAATTGTAGCTTTTTAAATGTGAAAATTCCCAAGTTTATTGTATGTATTTTCAGTTGTTGTGGGAGATATACATATATCAGAAAGTTGGCATGTATTAAGAAATAGGTTTATGTTTAACAGGCCACTATCCATTATATAACATCAAGGGATGAGTAGCATAAACACAGTCTGTATCGGGTTATACTTTTAATTGAGAATCTGGAAGTGGGATTGAGAATAATAAATAGCTCTTTCTTCTGCAAATCTTTCTAGTAGTAACGGTGTTAGTATGAGGAAATTGTCAGGTTTTTGCAGAAATTACTCGTAATGAAATACCAGATTAGTAGTTTCTAATGTCACAAAAAAGAGATAACCAGATGTATTAGGTACCTTATAAAATAAATATGTAACACATATGTGACAATTTTTTTTTAGCCAAAAAAATTGATTCTGAATTTAATTAAGCCTCTAGATTTAACTGCTAGTTTATAGGAAATACTGAGGTCCAAGGAATAAATGACAAAAGGATATGCAACCAACAAAACCCCTTAATGTGACAAATTTTACATCACAAATGACCCCATGTCTTTAACAGATGGTGGTGGTGGTGATGATGGTGGAGGAGAGATGTAGTGGAAACCTATAGGTTTAAAAAGACTTAAAAGATATATCAACCAGTTGTAATATATAGACTTTATTTGGGTTCAGATCTGATCAAACTGATGAAAAAGAAAGGCACTTCTGAGTGAGTCTGGAAAATTTGAACACTGACTGATGTTAAAAAATCTGCTAATTTAGGCCGGGCACGGTGGCTCAAGCCTGTAATCCCAGTACTTTGGGAGGCCAAGGCGGGTGGATCACGAGGTCAAGAGATCGAGACCATCCTGGTCAACATGGTGAAACCTCGTCTCTACTAAAAATACAAAAAATTAGCTGGGCATGGTAGTGTGTGCCTGTAATCCCAGCTACTCGGGAGGCTGAGGCAGAAGAATTGCCTGAACCCAGGAGGTGGAGGTTGCGGTGAGCCGAGATCGCGCCATTGCACTCTAGCCTGGGTAACAAGAGCGAAACTCCGTCTCAAAAAAGAAAAAAAAAAAATCTGCTAATTTATTTTAAATGTGATTTGATAGTTATATTTTAAAAAGATAATTTTAGGTGAAAGAAGATTGGTCATGATTTGACAATTGTTGAAGTCAGGTCATCCCATTCTCTACTTTTATGTATGTTTGAAATTTTATTTAATGAAATGTGTTTTAGAAAGAGTAGAAATTAATTAAATAATATATATAATGGAAAGGATCAACCAAATAAAAAGTTGGTTCTCTGATAAGGCTAATGAACTTGAGTCAGGAAGAAAAGGCATGTGGTTATAGGTATATGTTTCATACCATAGGCACCCTTTTCAGTCTCCTTCACAAGGTACATTTCATTTTAATAACAATATTTTGGCTTGTTTAACTAATTTCATTGAGCACTAACTAGAGTGTAGTAGTATAATCACAGCTCACTGTAGCCTTCACCTTTGGGCTTAAGTGATCCTCCACCTTCCTCCTGAGTAGCTGAGACCACATGTGTATGCCACCATACCTCACTAATTAAACAAATTGTTTTGTGTGTTTGAGATGGGATTTCACTATGTTGTCTAGGCTCAAATGATCTGCCCACTTGCCTCAGTTTCCCAGAATGTTGGGATTACAGACATGGGCCCAATCTCCACCTCCACTTTTTAAAAAACTTTTTCAGTCTTACCTGTTATCATCGAAGTGAACAATGTTCGGATGGATACTTGGTTAGGAAATGCTGACTTCTCCAGTCTGATAATCCTGGATTTTGATTATCCCACTACTTCCTATAATTTCCACACTGGAATGATACCAAATGTTGTACATCTTTGAACATATCTTGCTGTTTTCTCTCTGTCTGGATTTCTTCCCCCAACCTTTGCTGAGAGTATCTGTTTATGATTCTTTGAAAACTTTTTTGAGCTCTTGACACTACACATTACCCCCACCGTTGACAGAATCAATAATTCCCTTCTTTATGTTATTTCAGTATTTTTCACAACTATGTTACTTCATAGGTTATTTTGCATTTATTTGTTTATACCTCTTTTCTCTTGAACAATAAGCACTTTGAGAACAAGACTGTGTTTCCTTTGTCTTTATATTCATTATCTAGCATGGTCCCTAGTTCATACATGGTTGGTCTGTATTTATTAAACGTTTTTTATGGTTGCTAGGATGTATCAGAAAAACTTAAGGGCTGACTTGCAAGACTAGTCACCATTATAATGTTTCTGTGGGGGGAATTTATCTTGTGGTAGGATGTTAGAAAATATAAATATAACTGATTTAAATGAACTTTTAAAATTCAATTCATATGTAAGTTGAGAACTGTCCAATGTATGATTGAAATATGTATATACATTTAAAATTTGCTAGTTTTGCCTAGAGGAAATAAAGCATTCCCCCTATTCTTAGCTGTAACCCTGTCTCTGAAGAAGTAGGGGAAATTGCTTAGATCATTTAATTCCATTATCCTCTTCTAAAGCCTCCCAAAAGGTGGGTGGGTGTTAATGAGAAGCTAAACACCTGCTGTGCTTTAATATAGTTTAGGTAATTACATGTGGCTAGTGCCGCCAATATTAGACGGCACAGCTCTAAGTGTTCAGACTTCATTCTTTGGTAATGGGGAGCCACTGAAAATATTTGGGCAGGACAGAGGAGATGATTGGATTTAAGTTTAACACATCTCATTAGTAGCTGTGTATAGGTGGGAGAAATTGTAGGGAGCTACGTAACATTCCAGAGATTATTTGTCTTAATCAGTGGCAGATGGGATGATTGGATATTTGAGTACAGAATCAATAAACTTGATTTTTGTAATTATTTTGCTTGTTATATTGGATCATGACCAACTTGTTGGTGAGGTCTGTATTATAACAATTGTAACCAACATGTTTTGAGCATTTGTAAATGTCAGGCACTACTGAGTGCCTTTGTGCATTATCTCATTTAGTGCTCTCAACAACCCTGTGAGGTAGGAAGTATTATCTTCATTTTACAGACAAAGAACAGCTCAGAGAGGTGAAGTAACTTACTGAAAGTCACACAGATAGTAAATGCAAAGAGGTTTGAGAAGAAAAGAATAAGATTTAAAATCAGGTGGCAGAGGGGATCATATATAGCACATAACATTACTGTTGTGTGGGAGTTTCCTGATTTGGGCACATAGTAGGTTATGAAAATAGTATTTATTGTTACTTATTGAGCATATACTATGTGCTAGGCATTCTAAGCCCTTGACATGTGTTAGATTATTTAATTTTCACAACTGTCCTGTGAGACATCATTATGTTCATTTTTATAGAGGAAGAAAGTGATGTGCAAACATAGGCTGACTTGTTCAAGAAAGTTACAGAGCAGGGATTAGAGTCCAAATAATTTGGCTGCAGCACTCCCGCACTACTTAATACATTTGTGTGTTATGTTAATAAATAAATACTGTACAATTGGAGAGATAGGCCAGACTGTGGTGTTTCAATAAAGCAAACTTGTCTTAACTGTGAAAGTGACTCAGCTTGAGATTTAATTAAAATTGTTTCTGTGTGTTTGTATCTTTCTTTTTATGACCTTTGGCAGTGAAATGAAGGGTTTTTATAGGATGTATAAAATGTGGCTTTTTTTTTGTGTTAAATACTTTATGACCTTGAGTTTACTGGTCCTGACTAAGTTCCCCTTTCCTCTTTTGCCCACTAAAGCTTAATTCTATTTATGCACACAGTTAAAGCCATCGTAGTGTAGTGGAAAGAACACGTATTGGATTCTTACATTTTAATTCCAGCGTTATCCATTACTAGCTGTGTGACTGGGGAAATTATACATCTTTAGAACTTCCCTTTTAATTATTTTCTCTTTTTTTTTTTTGAGATGGAGTAGCTGGGATTACAGGTATACACCACCATGCCTGGCCAATTTTTTGTATTTTTAGTAGAGTCAGGGTTTCACTATGTTGGCGAGGCTGGTCTCAAACTCCTGACCTCGTGATTCGCCCGCCTTGGCCTCCCAAAGTGCTGGGATTACAGGTGTGAGCCACCATGCCTGGCAGAACTTCCCTTTTCTAACCTGTAAAATGGGGAAAATTAAATCTTCATTTGATAGTTGTAAGGAGTAAAGGGGATGATTTTTTAAATGCCTGCTCTACTACTTTGTGTATGGCAGATGTTCAAAATATTGTAAGTGCTTTATTTCTTAATAAATGAAACATCTCCAAATATAAGTACCTTTTTTTCCTTAGAGTTGTTTAATTTTGTAGTTGAACTCTGTGCTTGCCAAACACTTGGTAGCCAGACATTTAGAATTTGAACCAGATACTATAGAGTTTCTAAATAAAATATGCATTAGAAGAGAAATGCATTAATTCTTTATGGTGTTGTGTGACTGTTTTGTGTCTTTTACCAAGAGGTAATTCTCTGCTATATTAGAGAGGAACAATGATAAGGAACACTTTAGCTACTTGTATTTCTGGAGTTCTATACTGCATGGATAAATGAATGAATAAATGAATGACATTCTAGTTGGACATGTAAAAAGCAAGTAGTGAAACTCTTGAGAAAGTTTCTCACAAAAGGTAGCTATTTTTCTAAAGTATTTTCATCTGATTTCTCAGTAATGATGTAGAGAGAGGTAGTTTACAAGCTGATCTTAGAAACGTATATTAATAGAAAAAGCAAATACACAAAAGGTCAGTAGTCTCTGCATATTCTGGGAACATTCTTTTAGATTTTGATTTGTAGTGTAATGCTTTTATTTCAGAAAATTAGTTGTTTGAATTCCCTTTAATCAAGAGCAGTGCTAAAGCAATGATATTTAATGACTATGTAACTGAGACTCCTAAATCACATGTTGAAATCTGACTGACATGAAGAAATATTGAGGGGGCAAAGGAAAAGAATCGGACATCAATTTTTGAGATACAGTTAATATATTTAAAAATTTCCAGGGCTCATAGTTGTTTTTTTTTTTGAGACAAAGTCTTGCTTTGTCACCAGGCTGGAGTTCAGTGGTGCGATCTAGGCTCACTGCAACCTCTGCCTCCTGGGTTCAAGTGATTCTCCTGTCTCAGACTTCTGAGAAGCTGGGACTACAGGGTGTGTGCCACTATGCCCAGGTTTTTTTTTTTTTTTTCTATATTTTTAGTAGCGATGGGATTTCACCATGTTGGCCAGGATAGTCTCGATCTCCTGACCTTGTGCTCTGCCCGTCTTGGCCTCCCAAAGTGCTAGGATTACAGGTGTGAGCCACTGCACCCAGCTAGTTTTTTTTTTCTCTCAGCTTTACTGAAATGTCACAAAGCTTTAAAATCCACAGATTTTCAGTGTCAAATGTGATGAATTTTGATACACACAAACATTTGTGTAAACATTATTTTAGTCAAGAAATGGAAAATTTCCATCACCTAGGAAAATTCCCTCTGTGCCCTTTGCAGTTAGTCCTCCCCAGAGGCAGCCATGTGGTCTAATTTCTGTTACCATAGGCTGCTCTAGAACTGCATATAAGTGAAATCAGGCTAGTTGAGGTGCTTCACACCTATAATTACAGCACTTTGGGAGGCCAAGGTAGGAGGATCACTTGAGGCCAGGAGTTTGAGACCATAACAAGATCCCATCTCTAAAAAAAATTCAAAAAGTAACCATGCATGGTGTTTTGGGCCTGTAATCCTAGCTACTTGGAAGGCTGAGGCAGGAGGATTCCTTGAGCTCAGGAGTTTGAGGTTGTAGTGAACCGTGATTGTGCCACTGTACTTTGGCCTGGGTGACAGAGTGAGAACCTGTCTAATAAATAAATAAATACATAAATAATTACATGAATAAATAAAATAGGTGGTATGTGCTTTGATGCCTGACATCTTTTGTTCAATAGATTTTTGAAAAAATTTTTTTGTCATTGTGAGTATCAATAGTTCATTTTTATTCCTGGAATTGTATTCCATTACCACAATTTGTTTATCTGTTAACTTGACAGAATTTTTGTTTTCAGCTTTGGGCTATTATAAACAAAATTTCTATAAACATTTTTGTACAGGCGTTTTTGTGGATATTTGTATTCATTTATCTGGGGGAGGAATGGCTGGGCTGTTTGGTATGTGTATATTTAAACATTTCTAAGTGGTAATCTTATTTCATACTGCCACAAGTAATATATGAGAGTTAGAATTACTGTACGTCTTCACTAATGTGATATAGTTAGTCTTTTTACTTTTAGCTGTTCTAGTGGGTATCTTACTTGGTTTTAATTTGCATTTCTCTGGTTAACTAATGATATTAGTCACAGATTAGGATGCTATTTGGACATTTGTATATTCCCTTTCGTGAAGTGTCTAAACCTTTTGCCCATTTTTTTTTGTTTTTTGAGACGAAGTCTTACTCTGTCTGGCGTGAAGTCGAGCCATCTCAGCTCAGTGCAACCTCTGTCCCCCAGGTTCAAGATATTCTTCTGCCTCAGCCTCCCGAGTAGCTGGGACTACAGGCATGCGCCACCATGCCCAGCTAATTTTTGTATTTTTAGTAGAAACAGGGTTTCGCCATGTTGGCCAGGATGGTCTTGATCTCTTGACCTCATGATCCACCCTCTTTGCCTCCCAAAGTGCCAGGATTACAGGTGTGAGCCACCTTGCCCGGCCCCTTGTGCTCATTTTCAAATTGAGTTGTCTTTTTGTTATTGATTTTAGGAGATCTTTATGTTCTTCATACGAGTCTTTGAGAGTATTTTCAGCCAGTATGGTTTGTCTTTCCGCTTTTTTTTCTTTAGAGTCTCACTCTGTCACCAAAATATAGGTTTCATAAGTGCAGAGATTTTCATCTTTTTCTTTACTAATGGCATGTGTCACTCAGTGGCACGATCACAGCTCACTGCAGTCTCAATTTCCTGTGCTCAACAATTCCTCCCACCTCAACCTCCTGAGTAGCTGGGACTACATGCTTGCTCAACCAGGCACAGCTAATTTTTTTCTATTTTTTGTAGAGATGGAGTCTCACTATGTTGCTTAAGCTGGTCTCAAATTCCAGGGCTCAAGCAATTCTCTCACCTCAGCTTCCCAAGGTGTGGAGATTACAGATGTGAGCCACTGCACCCAGCCTTCATTTTCTTAATAGTGTCTTTTGATGAGTAGAAGTTTTAAATTTTGATGAACACATTATTTTTTATTCTTTTTAGGTTTATGATTTTTTTGTGTCCTAGCTAAGAAACCTCTGTTTATCTCCAGGTAGCAAAATTTTTCAGTATTTTCTTTTCTTTTTGAGACAGGGTCTCGCTCTGTCACTCAGACTGGAGTGCAGTAGTGTGATCTTGGCTCACTGGAACCTCCGACTCCCGGGTTCAATCAATTCTCATGCCTCAACCTCCTGAGTTGCTGGAACAACAGGTGTGCACCACCACACCCGGCTAATTTTTGTACTTTTAGTAATGATAAGGTTTTACCATGTCGGCCAGGCTGGTCTCAAACCCCTGACCTAGGTGTTCTGCCCAGTTTGGCCTCCCAAAGTGCTAGGATTACAGGTGTGAGCACTGTGCCCAACATGTTTTCTTCTAGAAAATTTTGGTTTCAGTTTTTATGTTTACTTTAATGATTTATTTCCAATTTGATTTCATTTATGCATTTTACACTTAATTAATGGAACAAATATTTACTGAGCACAGCCTCAGTACCAGCCACTATTAAAGGTACTGGTGTTCATTAGTAAACAAAAAAAATGAAACTCTCTGCACTTGTGAAATCTATATTCTGGGGAAGTGACAAATAGTAAACTAATAAGTAAATTATAGAGCATGATGAAAGGTGATAAAGGACCATGGTTGGGGGAACATGATAGGGTAAGGTAAAGGGGTGGTGAGGTTTCTGGTTTTAAGGAAGATGGTAAAAATAGGCCTTACTGAGAAAATGTCATTTAAAAAATGACTTGGGCTAGGGTTGTGCCTGATCAGTAGCTGCAGTACTAGAAAGATGGAACAAGAGCAAAGAAAAATCCCTTTGGTTCCAGAAAATCTCTTGAGAAAGAGAAAGGCTTATCAAGCCCTCAAAGCCACTCAGGCAAAACAGGCACTTTTGTCAGAGAGGGAGCAGAGGTAAGGAAAAGGGCTCAGGTTTAAGCAACTGGAATCATTCCTACATGATTGCCGGAGGCAGAAACATGACAAGGTGCATCTCAGATGACTAAAAGTGAGAACTCATGCCTTGAAATTGCCAGATAAACATTCGTTGGTCTTTGTTGGAAGGATTAATGGTATGAGTTTACCGGTGGAGAGAACCATTGCAAGACTTCACCTGAAGAAAATTTTTAGTGGTGTCTTTGTAAAAGTCAATCCCCAGAACCTAAAAATGCTGCTTATAGTGGAACTTTACGTGACCTGGGGATTTCCACATCTGAAGTCTGTGAACTAACTTTGAAATGTGGACAAGCCAAGTTCAAGAATAAAACCGTCCCTCTGACAGACAACACAGTGACTGAGGAGAACCTGGAGAAGTTTGGTGTCACTTGCTTGGAAGACCTCATTCATGAAATTGTCTTCCCAGGGAAGTATTTCCAGGAGATTTCATGGTTCTTGCACCCTTTTCACCTTTTAGTGGCCTGTCTTGCTCAGGCTGGAGTGCAGTAGCATGATCTTCCCTCACTGCCACCTCTACTACATACCAAAAATATAGTGGGCTTCCTCAAGAAGATTGGCTCACCTGGCTCTGTGGTGAATGCATCAATCAGCTCATCCACCAACTGAACAAGACCCAGAATATCTGAAAGCACAGTGCAGTGGAAGCATGTGTTTTTGTTTTTTGGGGAATTTTTATCAAGTATCTTCAGAGAAGATTATTCCCTGTTTTATTTTCAAAAACTGGAAAGGAACGGTCAAAGAGAAGACAGTAGTTTACATTCATGGGAAGCACCGCTCATCACAGTCCAGTTCCCAGGAAAATTTCAGTGTTTTCTACCTTGGCTGTCATCTCATCAGAAATAAGCACATGCCATGGAAGAAGGAGTCCTACTTTGTTGTATCTTCTATCCTAGGGTTTAATCTTGGTAAATGAGTAACTCAAGCATTTGTACAAGGCTCTCTAGGACTCCCGCAACAATGGACCAAGTGCAGGGACGTAATGGAGATTCCTGGGGTCTTGTTTTGAAAAGACTTGAAATATACATAAGAAGAAAGGCACACAAATGAATATCCAGTTATCCAAAAAAAAGAGAGAGAAAAAAAAGAAAAAGACTTGAAGAAGATTTAGGGATTAGCCATTCAGATATCTGGGAGGAGAGTGTTCTGGGTAGACAAAACAGCCAGTGCAAAGGCCTTAGGATGGGAGCTTGTCTGTCATATCCCAGGAAACAGCCAGAAAGCCAGTATAGTACAGGGTAAATGTGGACAAGGTTACAATGATATAGGAGAGCAAATTGTTTAAACTCTTATAGGACATTGTTAAGATTTTAGCTCTTTGAGTGACATGAGAAGTCATTTGAGAGTTCCATATACTTAATACACATTTTAAAACAGCACATATGTACTCCTGAATTCACTTAGAGATTTCATAGTATTGCTTCTTTAGGTATCTGTTTAATAGGTGTGGAAGCATTTTTTTTTCCTGATAGGTATACTTAATATTATAATGGTTTTCTTATTTCAGAAAGATCCAGATTACCTGAAGCTATGGTTGGACACTTTTGTTTCTAGCTATGAACAATTTTTAGACATTGACTTTGAAAAGCTGCCTACCAGGTATGTAGAAACACTAATTTGTTACCCTTGGATGAGTTTTTCATTTTTGACACAAAGATTTATTTGATGATCTATTACAAGGATGATAATTATGTTACTCTCTTGATACTCATGAATAACCCTATTCTCATAGAGACATAGCTAATTGATGACAGCAGTCTTTCTTGGTGATGCTAGACCTAGCTTCTAGAAACCTCTTCTCTGCTTTAGTAGGACACTACCAGCTGGTGTCCTGCAACACACTTAATTTCTGACACTAACTACCGGATCCCACAGGTTAAGGGCAAAGTCGTCTATAAGACTGCCTTTGTGTCAGACATTAACCACTGCAAGTCTTGGGGACCACCCACATTTCAGACCAACTGGCTATGAATTCAGGTTCTCACACCCTCCTCCCCACCTCAGGTTCAGTAACTCACTACACTGACTCAAATAACTCACTGAAAGTACTATACTTATGATTATGGCTTTATTATAAAGAATACACATAGGACAAGGTGTGGAAGGGTCTGGATGCAGAGTTTCCATGTCTTCTTCCCATGGAGTCAAGGTGTGTTGCCGTTCCTAAACATCAGTGTGTTCGCTAATCAGGAAGCTCTTCAAGATTTGGATGTCCAGAGTTTGAAACTAAGGGCTCACTTTGAGTCACTTCATTTGCATAGACTCAGATATAATCCACAGGGCTTATTATGAATAACAAAAGACATTCTGAATATCACGCAGAAAATCTCAAGGGTTTTTGAAGCTATATGCCAGAAAACTGGGACAAAGACCAGTTATATACTCTTTATTATACAGCAGACATGTGAGTTGAAACTTATTTTCATTCCTGGCCTTACAGTAGGGCCTTAGAAAACATCTTAGAGGAGGTGAAGTGTTTAGATTTTTAGAAACTAGTTTTAAAAATCATAAAATGGGGGAAAAATTAAAATTTTTGGAAAAGTACTACTGAAAGTACAAATCTTTTATTTTTCCACCTACCACCATTCCTCACTTTCATACCATTTCCCAGGCACACTTTTCAGATAAAGTTTTTTTATATGTCTTAAGCTACCTTGAAGGCCTAATAGTAGTTCAATAAGAGAGATTGGCTGGGGTAAAATGCAAAAAAATCGCAAGAGGCATTTAGCCACAAAAGGAGTGCCAGTTTAAGATACATGTTGGCCGAGTGCAGTGGCTCACATCTGTAGTCCCAGTACTTTGGGAGGCTGAGGTGGGCAGATTACTTGGGCTTAGGAGTTTGAGCCAGCCTGGGCATCATGGAGAAACCCCGTTTCTACAAAAAAATTAAAAATGGTGGCATGTGCCTGTAGTCCCAGTTATTTGGGAGACGGAGGTGGAAGGATCGATTTTGCCCAGGCGGTTGAGGCTGTGGTATGCTATGATCATGTCACTGTACTCCAGCCTGGGTGACAGAGTGAGACCCTGTCTAAAAAAAAAAAAAAAAAGGTGTGGAGGGGAGAAGGGAGAAATGGATGGTGTATGGTGATGAGAAAGAGTATCTGGAGAATTAAATCTTCAAGGAGGAAAAGTGTTTGCATTTTGGGGACAGAGGTAGGCAATCAGAGGTAGTAAAGGAGAATCGAGTCTAGAGAATCAAATAGGGGCCAGATCATGAAGTACCATGCACGCAACACTATGGACTTTAACTCTTGTTGTTGTTATGGAAAATAAGAGTACTACTGAAAACTTTTCTGTGTAGAATGTCTTGATCAAGTTTGTGTTTCAAAGTCACTTTAGTGGCTGGTGGAGAGGGTTGAGACTGAAGGCAAGGAGTCCAGTTAAGAGGTAAGTGTGATAATCCAGAGACATCACTAGAGCTTTTGACCAAGATACTGAACTCAAGTTAGGATGTGGGTGTACTAAGAAAAAACCAGTACTTCATTATTTATAAATTAAGTTTCAGATGACTTCCTCATTAGATTATTATTCATGATAGGTTTATAAAGGTTGGGAGGCATTAAATCTTGACCTTTTCTCAAAATAAAATTATGTATTACTGATTTTTACTAATAAAATAATATTCTTATTTGTGCTTAGAAGTACTTCTATTTTAATACTTTACATCTTGCTTTAAATCATGGGGCTAAGAATTTTATAGAGTTAGGTTTTGAGCCTTTGAATATTTGGAATATTGGAAGTAAGGCTTCTAAAGTTTCTGAGGTGCGGTTGCTATCATCCATACATGATGAATATCTCCTTTCTTGGGAGTTGGTTTCCAAAAACATTAGGAAGACATATTGTCACTGTGTTTAAACTAACATGAAGAATGCCAAGAGCATTGCTGTGTTTGTGATATAGTTTGTTTACTTATAATTAATTGTGTTTCATGTTTTTGTCAAAAAACTGAGCCATGAATTTAATTTTTCTAACAGAAAACATTCAAATTTTTAAGTGTATGCTTTATGCAAGATATTTTATAAAATTAGTCAAATCACCTTAAAGGTAAGATGCACATGGCTAATCCTCATTTGAAGTAAACTGACCTTAGAGAATTCATAATGTAAAGCAGAGATGGCTTGTATTAGAATATAAAGCCTTTGAACTTGAACCTAGGCTGTTTCCTGTATTAGACACAGACAACCATTGGCAGCTGTTTACAGTAGACATTCAATAGCTAAACAGAGGAGTGGAACAGCTTTTTGGAATTTGGGAAACTGCAACAAAAGCAGCATAGAATTTAATTTTGAACAGTAAAGTCCTAGAGGTGGGAAAAATGCTTCCAATTCTTAAATGCTCATAACATTAGAAACATGGCCAAAAATTTCATCCTTATAAGGCATGTTCAACCAAGCCCCAATTTTTTTTTAAATATATATATTTTATTGCATTTTAGGTTTTGGGGTACATGTGAAGAACATGCAAGATTGTTGCATAGGTACATACGTGGCAATGTGGTTTGTTGCCTTCCTCCCCATCACGTATATCTTACAGTTGTCCCCATGTTATCCCTCCCCAATTCCCTACCCCCTCACTGTCCCTCCCCTTGTTCCCCCCCACAGACCCCAGTATGTGATGCTCCCCTCTCTATGTCCATGTGTTCTTGTTGCTCAACATCCGCCTATGAGTGAGAACATGCGGTGTTTGATTTTCTGTTCCTGTGTCAGGTTTGCTGAGAATGGTGGTTTCCAGGTTCATCCATGTCCCTACAAAGGACACGAACGCATCGTTTTTTATGGCTGCATAGTATTCCCTGGTGTATATGTGCCACATTTTTCCTGTCCAGTCTATCATCAGAGGGCATTTGGGTTGGTTCCAAGTCCAAGCCCCAATTTTGTTAAAAAAAAAAAATCTTAGAAACTAATTTTTTACTCTTAGTCATTTTTTAGAAGCTGATTTTCTGACGGTTTAAGTATTTATTAAAAACAATGTGCATGTAGAGAATGAGATGACTAAGGACAAAGGGAAATACTCTTAAATAAGTAGGATGAAATATTGGGAAATTGAATGTTTTCTTTCTTGTTGACATATTTTTAGAAAAGTGATGAGGAATAGCTTTGCTTACTTTTGAAAATTAGTTATATCTAAATCTTTGATATAAAGGGCTAAAGATTACTTCTTTTAGCCCTTTAGTGGGAAAAACTATATATGTATATCTATAAATAAGAGATTTTCTGGGACCTACCTATAAATAAGAGAATGAAAGAATCCAATGCTACAAGTGAAATGGTGCCCTAACTTAAATGAAATATTTGTAAATGAGTTATGGAATTTGGCATTTCTTGTAATATGCTTTATGGCTTATTTTTTGTGTAATTTAATTAAAATCAAGTGTTCATTTTATAAAACACTTCCTTAATTTATGTCATAGGATGATTAAGAAAGAGGCTAACTGTATTTATTCTACATGTGACTACTGGTTATGTGCTTCAGATTTTTCTGCCTACAGTTAATCAAACAGCCTTTTACTTAGTATAAAAATACTAGCGATACCTCATATTAAGCATAAGCTGAAGAAGAGACTACTGTAAAGTATAATTGTCATTTAATCATAGGTGTGCTTTAGGGAGCTCCCTTCAGATTTGGGCAATACATGTCTATTTTTTTGTTTTGTTTTTGAGATGGAGTTTCACTCTTGTTGTCCAGGCTGGAGTGCAATGGCAGGATCTCAGTTCACCACAACCTCTGCCTCCTGGAATCAAGTGATTCTCCTGCCTCAGCCTCCCAAGTAGCTGGGATTATAGGCATGTGCCACCACACCCGGCTAATTTTGTATTTAATAGAGTCGAGGTTTTTCCATGTTGGTCAGGTCAGGCTGACCTTGAACTCCCTGCCTCAGGTGATCCGCCTGCCTCAGCCTTCCAAAATGTTGGGATTACAGGCATAAGCCACTGCACCCAGCCTACATGTCTACTTTTTAAGAAATGGCAGAGCTTTTGATTTGAAGACCTGTACCACTACATCTTGTTAATTTTTTTTTTTTTTTAAGTAAAGATGAAGTTTTGCTATGTTGCCCAGGCTGGCCAAGTTTCTGTTTCTTAGCTGATTTGGCATAGGTTTCAACCAGGTGTAGACCTCAGACCAGAAACAGGTTTGTACGAAATACTGCATTTTTTCATTATCTGTGACTCAACATGCCTTTGATTCTAAGCCCACATCTTTCAGGCTGGTAAGATATCCATGCTTTGTTATGCTTTGGATTTTCCTCCACCTCTAGAGATGACAAGGTTTTATTTAGTGCCACTGATTTTTGATGAGGAGGGAGAAGGTATTCTCTGGTTTTGGTTGTGTGACCACAGTAGTAACCTCTGATACATCCCTTGTGCCCATCTGCGTAGCCCACTTAAAACCAGCTCCTCTTGGAACACAGATTTATTTCATGAGGTTGGGTACTTCAGCATCCATGGGGAACTTCAAAGGTTAAATTGTCAGCTCTGTGTTACAGAGCTGAGATTTAGTACCCTTGTCTTTACACTTTGAATCTAGATATGAGTTTTTATTATGAAAGAAACACCAGAGGAGCCATTCAGGTCTGATGTTGACAGTTGCCCTTAAGAACCATGTAGTCTTACATAGAAACCATTTGTTACAAAATATTGACATATTATTTTTTAAAATCTTCTGTTGTTGCCCATGCTCAGAGTTCTGTGTTTCCTTTTCTACTTTTTTGTCTTTTATACCTTTTTATCTTTCTCCTTTCGTTTTGCTGGTTATCTTTTCTCCCTCTTCTGATCATATGGCTTGGGGAGTCTATACTAAACAATGATGTTTAGTAAAGCAGTTGACAAATATTAAACTAGTTATATAGAGACTTCATTTTTATTTGATAGTTATTGTTTCTTTTAGAAAGGATATGCACACTGGTATACATAGTATTTAGTATGCATAGTATTTCTAAGTGGAAAATAATTTATTCTAAATATTTTCATTAAAAATAGTACAGTTGAAGATATCAAATAGTCTCTCTGTCTCTCTCTTTAGTAAGCCTCTTCTAAAGTAAGAAAAACCACTCTGCTCTAACAGTGTTCTAGTTACTAATCATCTGGTGGTATGTTGCAGATAAGAAGGCACAGAGCGGCCGGGCGTGGTGGCTCACACCTGTAATCCCAGCACTTTGGGAGGCCGAGGCGGGTGGATCACGAGGTCAAGAGATCGAGACCATCCTGGTCAACATGGTGAAACCCCATCTCTACTAAAAATACAAAAAATTAGCTGGGCATGGTGGCGCATGCCTGTAATCCCAGCTACTCAGGAGGCTGAGGCAGGAGAAATGCCTGAACCCAGGAGGTAGAGGTTGCAGTGAACCGAGATTGCACCATTGCACTCCAGCCTGGGTAACAAGAGCGAAACTCTGTCTCAAAAAAAAAAAAAAAAAAGGCACAGAGTATCTGGAATGAATAAAAGAGCTTCTTTAGGATTTTGGCTGAAAATGAAGTTTATTTAAATGCCAGAGATTTTCTTCTTATATTTCAACAGGCTTGTTTTTCTTTTCCCTTTCTGTTGTAGGGTAGATGATGTGCCTCCAGGAATATCTCTGCTTCCTGATAATATTCTGCAGGTTCTGAGGATCCAGTTGCTACAGTGTGTTCAGAAAATGGCAGATGGGTTAGAGGAGCAACAGCAAGCCTTGTCAATTTTGCTTGTCAAGTTCTTCATTATTCTTTGCAGGTATCTAGAAAAAAATATAAATTATCTGTTTTAAAATAATTGTTACCAAAATAATAATTACTTTTATTTATTATTAATGATGTTTGTAGTTCATATGGAGCTTTAAAGAGTCAGTACACTTTTTGCAACAGGCTTTTGGTTTGTTAGTATATTGGAAATCTTTTTAGTTACTATACCTAGTTACAGAGACATGAGCCAAGATTTTTAAAAATTAAATTAAAGTCAATGACAGTTTTTCTTCCCCAAGAAATTACTATACCAGTATTTTCTGTATGGTTCTCACCTGTAAATGTATATGCATTTTTATTACCCTGTGTTACTATTTGTGAAAATAAATCATTTAGATATTTCATTTTATCATTTTACCAAATAAAGTATAATTATCCTATATGTTATCATATTTCCCACATTTATAAATTAGATATGTGATTAGATTACCTACATTTTGGTAGGTGTAAATAACAACAAGGAGGCTTAGTAGAATACAGAGCTTGAGACTTGCTTATGGAAATTCTGTTTCAAAAGGGCTTAAAATCTAGATTTTTCAAACATTCCATATTCATCTGCATATAAGAATTCAAGAACCACTGGTTTAGGGCATCATATTCCTCTTGAAATCTATCTTCATTTCAAAAGCCACATGCTATATCTTTAAATTTATCTTCTTTTTGGAAGCCACTTTCTATAACATACATTATTTGTTTTATAAATATTTTATAACTAATTAGTAGAGGAATAGGGACTTAATTTACCTGTTAGTCACCTTTGGCTTAATTGCTTATTGCTTTTGCAGGAATCATGGAATGATTGAGCAATAATTGCTAAAATATTTCACCCCTAATTTAGGTTCTCCCAGAGCCTTAGACATGTTTTTATTTTTGTGTTTTTCTTCATCCTTAAAATTTAGAAGAATAAGATAATAATTATAAGGGTTGAAGAATGCTGCCTGGTACGGTGGCTCACACCTGTAATCCCAGCACTTTAGGAGGCCGAGGCAGGTGTATCACTTGAGGTCAGGAGTTGGAGACCAGCCTGGCCAACATGGTGAAACTCCGTGTCTACTAAAAGATACAAAAATTAGCTGGGTGTGGTGGCAGGCACCTGAAATCCCAGCTATTCAGGAGGCTGAGGCAGGAGAATCGCTTGAACCCAGGAGTCGAAGGTTGCAGTGAGGTGAGATTGCACCATTGCACTCCAATTTGGGTGACAGAGCGAGACTGTGTCTCAAAAAAAGAAAAAAGGTTAAAGGAAGAGGGTTTATTCAGATAGTAAGGCATAAGTTGGCCTCCGATAATTTGCTATATTTTGCTCTTAGCTACCTACTACAATTTTGCTGACATGAAAAATCCTACAGATATTTGTTTTAAATTCATTATATTTAGATTTTGGTAATAGAGGGAAGCACTAGAATGCTCAACACATTTTTTTGGTTGAAAAAATTTTTTGGGTAGGAGATAGTTTCTGGTGATAAAGTTAAATTTAATGTTCAGTAGCTACCAGTCACAGAACATGTTTCTATTTACAGAGATCTCCCTTTACTTGTTTAAAGCTCTTTTAAAAAACTTTAATAGACTTTCTGTTTTAGAGCAGTTTTTATGTAAACCTAGAATTCCCACACACTCCTTTGCTGTAGCCCCCAGTTTCCTCTATTATTAATATTTTGCATTAGTGTGATACATTTGTCATAGCTGATGAACCAATATTCATACATTATTATCTAAGGTCCATGTGCACATTAGGGTTCACTATCTGTGTCCTATAGTTTCATGGGTTTTGACAGATTTATATTGTCATTTATTTTGTCATATATTTTATATTGTAATATATTTTATAGTGAAACCCCATCTCTACTAAAAATACAAAAATTAGCTGGGAATGGTGGCACATGCTTGTGATCTCAGGTCCTTGGGAGGCTGAGGTGGGAGGACCGTTTGAACCCAGGAGGCAGAGGTTGCAGTGAGCTGAGATTATGCCACTACCCTCCAGCCTGGGTGACAGAGCAAGACTCTGTTTCAAAAAAAGAATTTAAAAAAAAATTATTGTCTTGCTGCATTGCCCAGGCTAGTCTTGAATTCCTGGGCTCAAGTAATCCTCCTGCCTGTCAAAGTGTTGGGAATAAAGACAGAATAGTTTCCCTACCCTAAAAATGGCCTGTGCTCCACCTATTAATTCCTTACACACACATGCACACACCACCTCTGTGCCTGTCCCAACCTCTGGCAACCCCTGATTTTTTTTTTTAACTCATAAGCATACCAAATGTTACAGATCTCATTGTCACCACTGTGATACGTATACTGTGATGGAAGCATAACCTGTGTCTCAATTTAGACACATTAACTTATTTTTGGACACCATGATCAACATTGCCTGCAATCCCAACATTTTGGTAGGGTGAGGTGAGAGGATCTAGAATGAGGCTTAACCACTGATCTTTTAATTGTGTCTTTTAGTTTTGCTTTCTCCAGGGTGTCATAATTAGAATCATATAGAATGTAGTCTTTTCAGGCTGGCTTCCTTCACTTAGCAATATGCATTTAAGGGTCCTCCATGAAATTTCTTGTTTGTTTGTTAGACAGGGTCTTATTCTGTCACCCATCCTGGAATGCAGTGGCTTGATAAGGGTTCATTGCATCCTTGACCTCCCAGGTTCAATTTATCTTTCCACCTCAGCCTCTGAGTAGCTGGGACTATAGGTACATGCCCACAATGCCCAGCTTTTTTTTGCATTTTTGGTAGAGAAGGGGTTTTGCCATGTTGCCCAGGCTGATCTCGAACGCCAGGTCCCAAGTGATCCTTCCACCTTGACCTCCCAAGGTGCTGGGACTATAGGCATGAGCCATCGCACCTGACCCTCCTCCATATTGGCAAGGCTGATCTCCAACTCCTGACCTCATGATCCGCCTGCCTTAGCCTCCCAAAGTGTTGAGATTACAGGTATGAGCCACCGCACCTGGCTGGATTATACTTTAAAAAAAAAATTGAGACAGAGTCTTGCTCCATCACCTAGGCTGGATTGTACTGACATGATCATGGCTCACTACAACCTCAGCCTTCCTGGCTCACACGATCCTCCCACCTCAGTACCTGAATAGCTGGGAGGCACACACCAGCATGCCTAGCCAATTGTTTTTTAAAAATTGTTGTCTTGCTGGCTGGGTGAGTGGCTCACACCTTAAATCCCAGCACTTTGAGAGGCGAGGCAGGTGGATCACTTGAGGTCAGGAGTTCAAGACCAGCCTGGCCAACATGGTGAAATCCCATCTCTACTAAAAATACAAAAATTAGCCGGGAATGGTGGCACATGCTTGTAATCCTGGCTACTTGGAAGGCTGAAGTGGGAGGATTGCTTGAACCCAGGAGGCGGAGGTTACAGTGAGCTGAGATTATGCCACTGCACTCCAGCAAGGGTGACAGAGCAAGACTCTACATAGTTGCTTATAGATTATAAGATAGTGGCATATATTTTTTCTCTTCTGTTTCTACTTTGTGATATTTTCTGATTTCCAATAATAAATAGATGCTAATCAACATATACTTTTTAAACATTCTTTGTTTATAGTAGTTAAATGGTGCTTGAGGTATATTTCACATTCTTGGTGGAAGAGCAGTTATATAACATTTTGCTTTTATGTTTTAATGAATGTCATTTGCATTTTGTTTGCCAACATGTATTCTCATAATTCAAGCTGAATACATGAACATATGTTTTGTTCACCATTCAAATGTAAAAAATTAGTCTCTTTTTCTCATAGAAATCTATCCAATGTGGGAGAAATTGGAACTTGCTCGTACATTAATTATGTCATCACCATGACAACACTCTATATTCAGCAAGTAGGTGTGAACTAATATATTCATTTTGTCACTTTACTGAAAGTAACTAGGTTTTACTTTTTTTTGTATTACAGTTAGTATGGTTAAATATTTTCAGAAGAGGTAATAATTAAGAAGAGACCTAAACTTACTGTTGGCTAATATGTATTTCAGAAATCTTGTACATATTACCTAAAAGTAGATAAGTAGTTTTTATATTTACTGCTATTTAATTTAAATATTGAAGTGTTTAATAAATGGCTTTTAAAATGATACAATTTATGATTTTTATATATTATTTATTAATCACATATCCTTCTTACTGAAAACATACTACTTTTTCAAAAGAAGTTTGGCTAGCTATTTTAAACTTATCATAGGAGATATTTAAAATCTTAAAGGATGTATCTGGTCCATATGATTAAATGACTCTTAGTCTCAATGGAAAAGTTTGGCTTATTTGAATATAAATGACTTATTTTTAGATAAGTAAGACATGTCTTTAATTTTATGTTTAACTTTGTTTACAAATGACTTATTGTTAGATGATAAGTAAGACATGTCTTTAATTATATGTTTAACTTTGTTCTCAGTTAAAAAGCAAAAAGAAAGAGAAGGAAATGGCAGATCAGACATCTATTGAAGAATTTGTGATCCACGCATTGGCATTTTGTGAAAGTTTATATGATCCATATCGGAATTGGAGACATAGAATTTCAGGGTATGTCTATAAATAATAATGTTCATTTAAAACTTGGATGTCATAATATATGTGATTCTTCAAAGCAGGTCTTCTCTATGAAAGTAATTGGAAGAAATATATAAGATCCACAGGTTTAAATCTGACCTAGAGAAATATGTTGGAGGAATGAATTAGTGATAAATTCTGCTTTTGGGTAATTACATATACTCTGAACTTGTATTTTGCAATGCAATTTTAAATACTAACAACCTGGTAAGAAATGTTAAAGGCACAGTAGCATCAAATACAATATATATCTTTTTCAAGAAAAGTTCTTTTTTTAAAAAAAACTTTATATTTTGAAAATGCATTCTAGCAGTATTTTATTCATTTATTTTTAATTATAGAGCTTCTGTCATCAGAATCCCATCAGGAAAGCAGAAACAAAACGAAATATTTATATTTTTACTTTTAGACTTGAGATCTCACTATATTGCCCAGACTGGTCTTGAATTCCTAGGCTCAAGTAATCTTCCCACCTTGGCCTCCCAAAATACTGGGATTATAGGTATGGAACTACTGCACCCAGGCTCTTCCTGCTAGTTTGAGATGGAGTCTTGCTCTGTCACCAGGTTGAAGTGCAGTTGTGGAGTCTCGGCTCACTGCAATCTCTCCCTCCCAGGTTGAAGTGATTCTCCTACCTCAGCCACCCTAGAAGCTGGGACTACAGGTGCATGCCACCATGCCTAGCTAATTTTTGTATTTTTAGTAGAGATGGGGTTTCACCATGTTGGTCAGGATGGTCTCAATCTCTTGACCTTGTGATCTGCCTGCCTCAGCCTCCCAAAGTGCTGGGATTACAGGTGTGAGCCACCGCGCCCAGCCCTCCTCATGCTGGATATTTTAAAAGAGGATCTTCACTGGAGTCAGTATTTGCAAATACATAAATAAATAAAATAAAAAAGAGGATCGAATAGAGGGAAATTGATAAATATTAGATAATTGAGAAAGCAAAAGTGGGACACTGACTTTAGGAAACAGCTACTTTCCCTTGGGTCATAGGAACAAAGGGAAGAGAATGGAGTTAATCAGAATCTAGACTTTTGGAGAAGAGGCCCTAGAGCACTGGGGTTCAGACCTCTTAAGGAAGGAGCATTGCTTAGCTGATGCTGATACTTTTTGAGCAGTCAAGAGGCTCATTCTGGAATTGCCAAAAATAAGCTGAAGGCAGGAACCAGCTGCCATTACTACAATTAGGAATTCTTGCTGGAATGATGCTGATGAGTATAGAGAAAAAGAGCAATATGGAACCAATCCTTGCTCTCTTTCATCTGGTACCCTGTATTAGGGAGCCCAAAAGAGAGGCAGCTGGAAAAGAAGAAAGTTTGTATGATGCCTGCCCCAGCATCACAAAGCAGAGAGAATATAGAAAGGTAGGTTGGTACCTTAGTGACAATAGCTTAATTACCAGTACAGAGCTCAAAGAGAAGAGTTTTAAACTCACGTATCATTCTTACTTGTGGGCACAGATTACGAAGAATTGTATCATAACTTGCAATCAGACCTCTTTTTTAAATCTCCCAAATCTCAAGATTTTCCATTTTTATTTTCAACTTAGCCTGACCCATTTGTAAATAATTCCTACTTCTTGCAACATGATTGCAGCATTTCATTTCTAAATTATTTTTATAGGTTTTTTGGGGTTTCCAGGATAGTGTAGCCACCATACCATTAGATGATGGTGAAGTATTGATAATCGAGAAAACATTTATATATGCTATGTGGTAACACTTTTTATGCTCTATATAGTAATATAATATTTTATTGAATACATTCTGGGAGATGAATGGAAAATGTTTGTTAAAGATACAAAATTTCAGTTAGACAGGAGGAACAGATTATGCTTCAGTAACAAACAAGGGGCTTAGAATAACAAAATATTTATTTTGTTTTCGTGTTGTCTGTTTGTTGTGGGTAGACAGAGAGCCTCTACTCATCATAGTCACTAAAGATCCCAGGCTAACAGAGCAGCCAGGATTTTAGCCTTTGCTGGTCACCATGTGAGAGAGAATAAGTTTTGAAAGGTGTCAAATTGGCAATTTAATTTTCTTGTCTGGTCATGCTACATGACACGTCATTTTCATTCTGAACTCATTGGCCAAAACTGTGATTACATATCCCCATCTACTACAGTGGGGCCAAGTTAAAATCTGCCATGTGACTAGAAGGGGTAGAAATAGTTGGCAATTAATTTCATGACTACCTCTTATCTCTGCTTATGCCCTGCTTATGACTCTTTAAAGTTACAAAGAGGGAGCTGGATGTGGTGGCTCATGCCTGTTGTCCCAGCTACTGGAGTTGCTGAGGTGGGAGGACTGCTTGAGCCCAGGTGTTCAAGGCTGCAGTTAGCTATAGAGAACTGTCTTTTTAAAAAAAGATACAAAGAGGCACTTGACAGGACTTCATCTGTAGCCTTTATGCTTATTAGCACTTTGGGTCTAACTAATCAGTGTTCCCCCTGTTTCCACATGTTTGTCATAGATTTCTCTGAGGAAAGTATATCTCTTTCTCCTCTTCCTCCTACTCTTGCTAATTCTCCCTCCTCTACCTTAGATTTGCAAGCAATGGCAAATCTAAGAGAACATTTTAAGTTTTGAAACAATAACATAATTTTTCTTTGTAGACAGCAAGACAGATACAGAAAGAGGAACACAAAATCAGTCTGAAAATGCCAGAAGAGAGGCTTTTAAAGGATTTAATAATAAGAGCAAAATGAATTTAAAGATGGGGAAAGGAGAGGTTTATAAAAAGGTAGCTCTGATAACAAATTAAATAAAATTGGTAGCTAAAAAGAGTTTTTGAAGGTCAAAATAAAAAAAGAATTTTTTTGATAGCTGTTAAATAGGAAAATATAATAAAGATTATTACACCAAAAAGAGAGTAATTTTCCCATATAAAGTAGAAAACATATACAGATAACGAAAACTTGCCAGATGAGGCCAGTCAGAAAATTCCAGATGTTAACAAAAACACATTTTGCAATGGCCCATTAATCAGAGAACTTTAAAAACTACCTAAAAATTGAAATTACCTCCATATAGGAATACATTTTAATCCACCCAAAGACCCTTAAGTGAAGAGAGAATTTTGCTAATTTAATTTTTAAAAAACCCACTACCTATTAAACTCATATAGTATTGCTAAAAGAATATCTACAGAATTTTCATGTCAATGTTTTCTTGTAAAAGTGGAAATCAAAAGCAGAGAGCCTCTTTAACAATGAACCACTGATAAAATATCCACTTATGTGCATTTTTGAGCAATAATTTATATCAGACTTTCCAACTTACCAACATTTATACAATTTACTTTTTAAATTATTATACTTTAAGTTCTGAGGTACATGTGCAGATCTTCCAGGGTTGTTACATATGTATACACATGCCATGGTAGTTTGCTGCCTCCATCCCCCCGTCACCTACATTAGATGTTTCTCCTAATGTTATCCCTCCCCAATCTCCTCACTTACTGCTATCCCTTCTTTGGCCCCCAACAGACCCCAGTGTGTGATGTTCCCCTCCCTGTGTTCATGTGTTCTCATTGTTCAATACCCACTTAAGAGTGAGAACATGTGGTGTTTGGTTTTCTGTTCTTGTATCAGTTTGCTGAGAATGATGGTTTCCAGATTCATCCATGTTCCTGCAAAGGACATGAACTTATCCTTTTTTATGGCTGCATAGTATTCCATGGTGTATATGTGCCACATTTTCTTTATCCAGGCTATCCTTGATAGGCATTTGGGTTGGTTTCAAGCCTTTGCTATTGTAAACAGTGCTGCAGTGAACATGCATGTGCAGATGTCTTTATAATAGAACAATTTATAATCCTTTGGGTAAATACCCAGTAATGGGATTGCTGGGTAAAATGGTATTTCTATTTCTCTATCCTTGAGGAATCACCACACTGTCTTCCACAATGGTTGCACTAATTTACACTCCCACCAGCAGTGTAAAGGTGTTCCTATTTCTCCACATCCTCTCCAGCATCTGTTGTCTACAGATTTTTTAATGATTGCCATTCTAACTGGTGTGTGATGGTATCTCAATGTGGTTTTGATTTACGTATCTCTAATGACCAGTGATGATGAGCATTTTTTCATATGTTTGTTGGCGTCATAAATGTCTTATTTTGAAAAGTGCCTGTTCATATCCTTTGCCCACTTTTGGATGGGGTTGTTTGTTTTTTTTCTTGTAAATCTGTTTTAGTTCTTTGTAGATTCTAAATATTAGCCTTTTGTCAGATAGATAGCTTACAAAAATTTTTTCCCATTCTGTTGGTTGCTGGTTCAATCTAATGATTGTTTCTTTTGCTGTGCAGAAGCTCTTATCTGTTTTGGCTTTTGTTGCCATTGCTTTTGGTGTTTTAGTCATGAAGTCCTTGCTTATGCCTATGACCTGACTGATATTGCCTAGGTTTTCTTCTAGGGTTTTTATGGTGTTAGGTCTTATGTTTAAATCTTTAATCCATCTGGAGTTAATTTTTGTATAAGGTGTAAGGAAGGGGTCCATTTCAGCTTTCTGCACATGGCTAGCCAGTTTTCCCAACACCATTTATTAAACAGGGAATCCTTTCCGCATTGCTTGTTTTTGTCAGGTTTGTTAAAGATCAGATGGTTGTAGGTGTGTGATGTTACTTCTGAGGTCTCCGTGCTGTTCCATTGGTCTATATCTCTGTTTTGGTACCAGTACCTTGCTGTTTTGATTACTGTAGCCTTTTAGTATAGTTTGAAGTCAGGTAGCTTGATGCCGCCATCTTTGTTCTTTTTGCTTAGGATTGTCTTGGCTATGAGGGCTCTCTTTTGGTTCCATAAGCAGCACATCAGAAAGCTTATCCATCACTATCAAGTAGGCTTCATCCTGGGGATGCAAGGCTGGTTCAAAATACATAAATTTATAAATGTAATCCATTACATAAACAAAAATCCATTACAAAGACAAAAACCATGTGATTATTTCAATAAATGCAGGTCTTTGACAAAA